TTGGGGTCACGACGATCGTGTTTTGGTCTGCTTCAGGGTCTTGAAACTGTTGTCTCCCAACGAGGCAGTTCCCTCAGTGGAAATGAACCTGTAGGGGCCTGTGAAGAGGGAGCTCGGAGGTTGAGTTGATTCAAACATCGTCGATGTGTCTTGGGTTTGCACTGGTCCTCCTCCTCCTCCTCCTCCTCCTCTTTCTCCTCCTTCTTCCTTTCCTCCTCTTCCTCCTCCTCCTCCTCCTCTTTAGTCTCTCCCCCGCTTCCTCTCTCCCGCCTGAGGGAGGGGAAGGGTAGGGGTGAGGGCGCTAACTAATCGTCCTGCGCGGTAGCCCCCCGACGGGGGTCATCCTCGCTTTGTCGTCGCGCCGCGACGGGGGTCGGAGCGCGTTCGGCGCGCGGTGGCTGCCCGCGACGAGGGTCGATGTGGGGCTGTTGGCGGGGGTGACGCCCCCCCCGACGCTTACTAAGGAACTCGGAGTACGCTGTGTGGCTGATCGATGTTTCGATCATCGTCTGGTTGTCAACCCGTCACATCTGTCATCGGATCAGTGATGTGGATGCCAGCTTCTCGGGCCATTGCTGCCAATTTGCCAGGAAACCGCCCCAAATTGACCCCAAACGGTTCAACATGCGCAAACAAGAGCCCGAGAGGCACTCCGATTGGGCCCCCAAAGACGGGCGAAGATGAGCCCGAGGCGACCCATAGGGACATCTATAGACGGCGCAAGTTTGAGCATTCACGCGATGGGCCCGAGCCCAGATCAAATTTCCGGAACAGATCGGATCTGGTTTGGGCCCCGCCCTACGTTGGTCCAGCATTTTCCAAGCATTTGTCCCAGCGCGCGTCCAGAACAGCGTACATGCAGAACAGTGCAACATACGAGCCCGAAGCGCGGCCATCGGCGGCGTCTGGGCGCACCCCGGCCACGCGAGAAGCCTCCACGAGTTTTGGAAGTTTCAGACCCGTCGGCGCAGCTGGGGCCGAAGAGGCTCTCGTGGGGGCCGAGAGAGGAGCCGATCTCGGAGGCGCTGAGCGGTCCGCGGAGGGGGCCAGTCCTGGAGAGAGCCCCGCTCCGTCCAGCAGGCGCGCGGGCGGCGGCCTGGCCTCCGAGCTCGTCGGAAGGCCGCCTCGGGGCCGCGGCCGCCCGGGGCTCGGAAGGGGGGCGTGCCCGCGACGGGCGACGGACGTGCGGAGCCTGCTGCAGGACGCGGGACTCTTCCGCGTCTGAGCGCCTTCCCCTCCCCCCCCCCACCCCGCGCGGCCGCCCCCGTCTTCTTCTTCCCCCCTCTTGCACGCTGGCCAACGAGCCTTTCGGCTGCCCCGAGCGGACTGCTCTCTCGCCGGCGTTTGGCCATGCTCTCTCGCCCGTCGCCGCTCTCCACGGCGTTTGGCTGTGCGTTTGCTTTGCCTACGCGTCCACTCGGATGCAAGGCTGCTGTACTGTACTGTACTGGAGCGGACTGCCTCTGCCTCGCCGCCAACAAAAGAGTCCGCAGTTCGATCGGTGCTGCGTCGCGGTCGGTGGCCTTCGGTCGGTCCGGCTCGGTCGGTTGTGCTGTGCCGTCGCTGCGCCGCCGCGCCTGTCGGAGTCGCGGTCGTGCTCGGTGTCGCTGCCAGTCGGTCCTGTGTTGGGTTGTGCCGTCGCCGTGGGCGGCCGCGGCAGAACCTGTGCAGAGGAGCGGGCGACGCTGAATCCCGCCCGCGCCTCGGCCTGGCGGGCCTGCGGGCTCTGGAGGCTCTTGCCCCTCTGGGTTCCCCTGGGGTCAGATGAGGATGGGGGTGAGGATGAGGATGGGGATGATGAGGATGATGACGATGCTGCTGATTCTGATGATGATGAGGAGGAGGATGAGGATGAGGATGAGGATGGGGAGGATGAGGATGATGATGATGCTGCTGCTGATGATGAGGAGGATGAGGATGAGGATGCTGCTGCTGATGATGATGAGGATGAGGATGAGGATGATCATGATGATGAGGACGAAGATGCTGCTGATGATGATGATGCTGAGGATGCTGAGGATGAGGATGATGATGAGGATACGGATGATGACGATTACATCGCCGTGACGAATGTCTCTTTCAATTTGCCTTTTGGAGTGACGCGCTCGTGCGGAGTAGTTCGGAGTAGTTTTACTAACACTACTCCGCGCGCAATCGCATCCCGCTCGATAAGTTATATGGTTTGGCGCGGAGTAGTTTCCGATCCCGTTTTGGGGTAACAGAGTTATAATCGCTTCGCTCATTCCGCCGGCCCGTATTGTGCCATCGCAGGCGTTTGCTTGCGCGTTCGTGGCCTCTTGGAGCCTCGGTGGGGCCGTTTGGGGCCTCTTGGCGCCTCTTTTTAGGCCTCTTGGAGAACTCGGGAGGCCTCCAGGGGGCCTCCTGAGCTCTCGTGACGGTCTCTTGGGGGGCTTTCGGCGGGCTCTTGGCGGTATTTGTTGGTCCTCTTGGGGCCTGGGGCCTGACGTTGTTGGTCCTCTTGGGGCCTCACGGGAGCTTATTGGGGCGTCTTGGGGGTGTCTTGGAGAGTCTCTTGGGGCCTCTTTCGGGGTCCTGGGCGCCTTCTGGGGCGGAGGGCTCGATTTTTCAGTTCTCGGTTCCCTTCTTGAGCCCCTCTTGGGCCCGTCTTGGGGCCTCTTGGTCCGCCTTGGGCAGCACTTGGGCCGTCTGGGGGGCGCTCTTGGGCCGCTCCGGGGCCGTCTTGGGAGCCTCGTGGGCCGTCTTGGAGCAGTCTTGAAGGCCTCTTGGGCCCTCTTGGAGCGTCCGGAAGCGAAAAGGCCAGAACGCAAAAAAACATCGAAAAAACAATGAAAATCAACGATTTTGGCAACTTGGGGCCCTCTTCGGAGGCCTCTTGGAAGGCCCTTGGAGCGTCTTGGAGGCCTCTTGGGCTGTCTTGGGGCCATCTGGGGCGTCTTCGGGCGATCTTTGGCCGTCTCGGGCCTCTCTTGGACCGTCTAGAAAGCTTCTCGGGGCCCTCTTGGACCGATCTGGAGCCCTCTTGGACTCCGAAACAGAACTCCGGCATCTCTGACCCGACCTTGCCGGGGACTTGCCGGGGACTTGCCGGGACCTTGCCGGGGTACTTTTCGCCCGGGGACCCCCAGGGGCCGCCCCGCGCGCGCGAACTAGAAATACTGTTAACCAGGTACCGGAGATCCGATCCCGTTTTGGGGTAACAGAGTTATTAACGTCTCGGGGATCGGAAACTACTCCGCCGAATGATCCCAGCATCATGTCATGTTAGGAATCTTGAGAGGGATGGGAGAGATCATCATCCTAGCAATTTGAAGAAACTTTTGTCACGGCTGTGTATGATGACGATGACGATGACGATGACGATGACGATGATGGTGCTGCTGATGATGTTGATGATGACGATAATGGCGATGCTGATGATGCTGCTGCTGATGATGAAGAGACCAATGATTGCGAAGGCTTTACGGCCGTTGCCGCCGACCCTGAGAGCGACGAAGATGAAAACGAGGGGGGGGGGGGGCAGTGTGGAGGAGGTGGATGAGAGAGGAGGAGGGGGGAGAAGGATGTGGAGGAGAAGCAAGGGGAGGAGAAGGAGGCAGAGGAGAGCAGGAGGATGGGGAGCAGAGGGGGGGGAGGAGAAGGAGGAGGAGGAGGAGGAGGAGGAGGAATAATAATAATAAGACGAATAAGAATAATAATAGTAATAATAAGAATAATAAGAATACTAATAACAATACTAATAATAGTAATTTTAATAAGAACACTAACAATAATAGCAATACGAATACTGATAATAATAATAAGACGAATAAGAATCATACGAATAATAAGAATAATGCATAATAATAGTAATACTGACATTAATAATGATAATACTACTACTACTACTATTAATAATAGTAAAAACAACAATAGTAAACATACTAATAATATAATAATAATAATAATACTAATAATACTACTAATACTAATAATTCTAATACTACTACTAATAATAATAGTAGTACTAATAATACTAGTAAACATAATAATAGTAATACTAATATTAAGAAGACGAATGATAAGAATAAAACTAATACTAAGAATAATAATAATACTAATCATAATAAGAAGAGGAGGAGGAGGAGGAGAAGGAGGAGGAGGCCAGAGGCTCTCTTGGGACAGCCTGTGGCTCTTCTGAGGCCGCCTGGGGCCGTCAAGGGGTCCTCTTGCGCCGTCTCGAGGCACTCTTGCAGGCCTCCTGGGTAATTTGGGGCTCTCCTGGGCTGTCTTTGGGGAGTTCGGGGGCCCCTTGGGAGCGTCTTGGGGCCTCTTGGGGCTTCTTCGGGGCCTCTTGGGGACCTCTTGGGGCTGGGACCTCTTGGGGCTGAGCCATCTTGGGGGCCTCTTGGGTCGTCTTGGAGGCGTCTTGGGCCATCTTGTGGCCCTCTTCGGCTGTTGGGGGATCCTCTTGGAGGTCTCTCGGCCTGTCTCGGGGCGATCTTGGGGGCCTCTTGGGCCGTCCTGGCGCGTCGGGAAGCGGAAGAGGCAAGAACGCCAAAATCTTTCAAACACGTGCGGGAAATCCATGAATTTTTTGCCTCTTGGGGCTCTCGTGAGAAAGCTCCTGGAGGCCTCTTACGGGGCGCTTTGCAGGCCTCCTGGGCCGTCTGGAGGCCGTCAAGGCGTCTTGGACAGATCCATCGGCGATTCGGGGTTCTCTTGGACTGTCTTTGGGGCCTCTTGGGGCACTCTTGGCCCGTCGTGGGGCTTTTTTATTTTTTGGGCTCCGGGACTCCCAGGGGGGTCGTCGTATCTGACCCCCCCACCCCCGGGGCGTCTGACCCCCCCCTCCCCGGGACCCACCCCGCGCCCCTCGGCGGGGGAGGGATCGAAGGGAAGGGGCTTCCCTTCGACTCAATTGCGACGTTGCTTATTTTCGCCTTGGCTGGCGCGCGGAGGAGGTCCTCCCACCTCCTGCCCCTCCCCCGCCCGGCGCCGACCTCGAGCCCCGAGAGGGCGGGGGGAGGGGGGCGGCCCAGGAGGGCGACCTCCGGCCGCAGCTCCTGGACCGCTTCGGCATGACGGTCTCCGTCAGGAGCCCCCCGGCCGCCCCCCGACGGCCACCGCTCGAGGCGCGCGACAGGGAGAGCATCGCGCGAGAGGAGGCGACAGGGGCCGAGAGGAGGGCATGCGCCTGCAGGACACCGAGCTGACTTTTGACGCCCTCGATCCCATCGGGTTGACCCAAAAGGGGGGCAAGGGGATGGTGCAACAGGTTTGGTGCAGTAGATTTGTGGGGCTGCAGTACACTTGGGGCGTGCGATGCATTTCGGGGCGCAGATGTATTGCTGTATTTTCGCGTGCAGCATATTACTTGCAATACAGTGCAATACAATTCTCCGGCGCAATACATTTGCAATACAATTGCCCCGAATCTATTGCACCACCCCCTTTCAGCTGGACCCCCTTTTGGGTCACCCCGATCACAGCACGAGGAAAGGTCTGAAGCGCTTCAAGGGTCTCGGCCTCCCAGATGGGGTCGGAGTAGATGGGGTCGGAGGATCGCGCCGCATCGCCGATGTATCGCCGATGTGGCTCGATGTGGAACCCGCTTTTTTCCACGCCGGCGCCGCCGATGCATCGCCCACGTCGCCGATGCGGCGCGATCCTCCGACCCCGTCTGCTCGGACCCCATCCGGGAGGCCTCTAAGAGGCGTGCCGACACGTGGGACGGACGCTCCAGAGGCCAGCGCGGGGACCTCTTGAGCGCTCTTGGGCGTGTCTCAGCAAGCCTTGTGGTTCTTGGGGCCGCTTTGGGCGGGGCCACTGCCCTGGAGGCCTACACGAGCAATCCTTGAGACGCCCAGAAACGCCCGGGAACTCCTAGAAGCTCGTGCCCTGAGCCCCAACGGACCTACAAATCTTTGCCTCGCAGGACTGTATGAGCCTCGGGACACCAAGGGCGCCCTCGAGGGCGCGAAGTTATTCGCGCTTCGCGCTTCGCGGTTCGGCTCTGATTCCTCCTCATCCTCCTCTTCTCCCCTGGGAGGCGGCGCGAGAGCGCGACGTCATTCGCACTTCGCGCTTCGCGCTGCGCGAAGCGCGAAGTTGGGAGCCCTTGGACACTGCGCTACGTGTCACCGCGGGCGGGGGCTGAGGCCGAAAACTTGATGGAGCGACGCAGGTGGAGCGCGGGCGTCGGGGGCGCGAAGGAGGGAGGATGATAACACGCTGTTTCATTGGTTCTACATGTTGTGCTACACGCGTGGAGCGCGGTTTTCCTTTTCATGTGTTCTAACGGTTTCGTCGACGGTTTTCGGAAAAGCCTTCGGGGGGTTGACGGCTCTCGGGGGCTCTCGGAGGCATGGTCCCCAGAAGCTCCCAGAGGATCCCAGAGGTCCCCAGATGACGAGGCTCTGTTGCTGTTGCGCCAGCATGTATTTTGGATATGCCCGTGAGTTTTTCTTCGATGGACGTCCAGGGGCCCCAGAGGCCGTCAGAAACGGGCCCGGGGTGCACTCCCCCAGGGAAGCACGCCGTCCCCGGAGGCGGGGCGGAGCGGGCGGACGGACGAGATCTTCGGCCTTCTAGCGCCGCCGCGCTGCTCGGGACGAAGACGCTTCTTCCCTGGAGGATCCACAGGGAGAGTGGGGGGGGGGGGGGGCGGGGGAGGGGGGGAAGCGGAGGCGCGGGCGAAAACAAAAGGGAACGGAAACGGGCGCGGGGGGAGGAGAGGGGGATGGGGGGGGGGCGGGGGACGACGAGCCACCACAGAACTACGAGCACCAGGGGAATTACCAGCCACTGCGAGGCTCCGGGTTCCGGGGCCGATGTGCCCCATTTAGCCACCCTCATACGCGACTTCCTCTTGCGACGTCGCCGAGCGGAGGGCAGAAAATCTCGTCGAACACCTTGCGTCGAAATATATTCCGTGTGCTTCCACAGGTATGAGTCGGCCGGCGAAACAAACAACACAGTTTTTATACAGGGTGCTGGTTCCGCGGGCCAGGACAAAAACAACAAACACACGGGGGGGGGCCACCGCGCCCCCCCGAACAGAAGCCGACGGGGCCACGCAGAAAGCCCGGGGAAGTTCTTCGACAAGCCCCGCCAGTTTCCCGACGGGGCCGTGTCGTGCGCAGCTTTTTTCCCGCCGCGTCCCCGGGGCTCGGGCCGGGGAGGAGGAGGAGGAGGAGGAGGAGGAGGAGGAGGAGGAGGAGGAGGAGGAGGAGGAGGAGGAGGAGGAGGAGGAGGAGGAGGAGGAGGAGGGGGGGAGGAGGAGGAGGAGGAGGAGGAGGAGAGGAGGAGGAGGAGGAGGAAGGAGGAGGAGAGGAGGAGGAGGAGGAGGAGGAGGAGGAGGGGAGGAGGAGGAGGAGGAAGGAGAGAGGAGGAGGAGGAGGAGGGGGAGAGGAGGAGGAGGGCCACGGGGCCACGGCACGCACGGGCCACGGAGCGCACGGAGCACGGAGCGCACGGAGTTCACGGGGCACGGCAGCTCGAGCGGGCCGTGGGCCCGTGGCCACGCCCTCTGCGCGGCCGAGCCCGTGGAGGCCCCCGCGCGCCTCCAGCGACCCCCGAAGCGTTTCCCGAGGCCGCCGTGGAAGCCTCCTTCCCCACACCCCTTCCCCGTCCTCCGCCCCCCTCCCCGTCGTCCTGCCTCTCCTCCTCCTTCCCTTCCTCTCCCCCTCCTCTTTCCTCCTCCTCTCCCGCCGCCTCTTTCTTTTTTTGGCCTGTGTTCCTCCGGCTTCTCCTCGTTTTCTTCCTGCAGGACGCGTCCCGGAATTTTTTTCTCCCTCCTCTGCGCCGGCGACGTCTGCGCCGTGAAATTGTCGCGTCCCGGCCGTCGGCGCACGGAGATGGCAGTGGCCAGGTCGGCGCTGCAGCTCGTCGGGGCGCGCAAGCAGGCGGCTCGGACGCATAACAACACACAGTCAGAGGAAAAATCGAAACTTCAAGAACAGAATCCTGCGTTCCCCCCTATCAGGGGGGTGCCCATGGTGCTACGTACTGAAGGGACGGCGTCAGATATGTGAGGCGCTCCAGAAAGGGCCTCGCCTTCGAGGATCGAAGGAGTTGGCATCTCTTCCTCGGCGGAAGGCGGCGGAAGGCCGGCAGAGGGCGGCGGAAATACGACGAGGGCGGCTCCGCCGGCGAAAGGCCAGCGGAGGCCGGCGGAAGCAGCAACTGAGCCCCGAAGGGACCGCAACATTTTTGGGGTCGGGGTTTCCAGAACCGGTCATATGAGCAGGATGTGGGTCATGGCTGTGGTCATGGCCAGGATTTGGTCGACGCCGATCTTGGTCGTCGTCGTTTCTGGGCCATCGCTGGTTCGCGAGGACGATCCACGCGTGGACGGTGACCAGCATGGACGATGACCAAGATCGACACGGGCGTTCCGCGTTCAGTCGTGTTCAGGGTCATCGTCTTCTTTCCCTCCAGCCGTCTCCTGGCTCGCGGAGGCCTGTGCTCCTCCTGCGCTCCAAAAGGGTAGCGTGCAGGCGAGGAGCCCTGGGGGCTGCGGCGGCTCGTGCTCCTCCTGCAGTTCCCAGGGGGGCTGCTGCGTCCGCGCGGGTCCTCTCCCGCCGCTCCCGCCCGTGCCCCTTCGGGTCCCGTGCCCCGTGGGAAAGGAAGGAAGGCCTGAAGGCTGCGACTACCATACGATCGGGAAGTTCTGGACAGCGTGTCTCTCCGCGGGTTCTGGCCCACCACGCCTCGGCGCGGCACGCTGTCCGCTTCCCGGTGCCCAGGCGCCCACGTCCCGCGCCATCCCGCCTGCCGCCCCATGGGGCGGAGCGACGCGCTGTGCACTCGCAGGGTTCGCTGGGGCCACTGCGGCGACACGCCGCTGGGCAAAAGTGCCCGACAGTGGTTGTGGTCGAGTCTACTTCTTCCTCCTCCCATGCTGTTTTTTGGTTGGAAACCACGCTGCCCACTATCTCGTGTCATCGGTGTCACCCCAACATACGAATACTATGCGTGCGTCGCCCCCCAGAGGCGACGCGCGCACCGAACAATCTTATAGTATGTGCGTCGTGTCGGGCGCTTTCTGGCCACACCGCTCGGGAAACGATATACTGCAAGATGGGCATACTATATGTTCGGGTCGGACGCGCGCCTCCAAGGAGGACATACAGTACTAGTATGTCTCACTTCCTGGGTTATGCGCGCCAGCCATCGGAGGCAAGCTCCACGATGCACACAGCCGGCCGGTGTGCGGGCGAGATTGCCCTCGGGGTGGCGCCTCCTGGACGGCCCACAAAAAGTTGTAGCTGCGGCGGAGTGAGGCGGGGGTCACAGGCGTGTGCCCCCCAGCGCTTCGGCAAGAAGCAAGAGGAGAAGGAAGAGGAAGAGACTCCCCCTCCTCCTCCTCCTCCTCCTCCTCCTCCTCCTCCTCCTCCTCCTCCTCCTCTCCCTGTCTCTCTCCTCCCTCCTCCTCCTCCTCCTTCCTCCTCCCTCCTCGCTCCTCCTCCTCCTCCTCCTCCTCCTCCTCCTCCTCCTCCTCCTGCTCCCCGTCCCTCTCCTCCCTCCTCCCAGTTTCTTCCACCTCGGCTCCCGCCGCGTGGCCGAGGACCGCGAACAACTGGCAGTGGCGGAAGGAGGCAGCCCAGCCCTGCAGCCCGCCCCGAGCCGCCAGTTTTGGCGCGATCCCGCAGATGGGGGGCTCGTGCAAGAGGAGGAGGAGGGGGAGGAGGAGGAGGAGGAGGAGGAGGAGGAGGAGGAGGAGGAGGAGGAGCCCAGCCCTTCAACGTGCCGAAAAACAATACGGACGTTTTTGCCGTTCTCGCCTCCAAGCTCGCCTGGCCCCGGCACGAAGCGCTTCGGGACACAGACTCAGCCGTGGGGAAAGGGGGGTCTCTTGCACCGTCTTGGGGCCATCTTGGAGACTTTTTGGCCCGTCTTGAGCCCGAAGAGGCGAGAATGCAAGAACCCCTCAAACACTTCAGGGAGATGCATGTTTCTGACTTCTTCGTTCCGTGCTGGGCGTCCTATTGTGGCCCTCTTGGGGCCCTCTCGGAAGCATCTTGGGCCGTCCTGAGGCCATCTTGGGCCGCCTTGGGGCCGTCTTTGGTTGCTTTGGGAGGCATATTGAAAGGCTGCCGCCTCTGCCGCCGACCCCAGAAAAGGGGATCTCGTTGGTTCCTCTTGGGGCACACGTGCGCCGTCTTGTGGTATGTTTGGGAGCCTGTTGGGCCGTCTCCGGCCGATCTTGTCAGTGTCCCACATGCTGGGTGGGATAGGAAACAGGGATGGCGCAATTGAGGGCCGAACTCACATCGGCCAGCTGGTTAGGCACAGGTGATGCGGCCCCGAATGCGGTTATCGATGGGAATTTTCCAGTGCGCCCCAAAGGCAGCGCGGGCGTTTCAGTACGAATCGAGGATGCCCCAGGAGGCCTCAGGAAACTTCATGTGGCCTAGGGAAGCTTCTGGAGGCCCTAAGAGGTTGCCGGAAACGCCCAGGGGCCCCAAGAGGCTCCAGGAGGCCCGAGGAGGCCCCAGGAGGACCTACGAGGCCCTGGGGTGGCCCTGGGAGGCCCCAGGATGTTCCAGGAGACCTTGGGAGGCGCCACGGGACCTCAGGCGCTCCGCGAAATGGCGAGCGAAAAATGCGTGCCGCGCCTTAGCGGGAGCGCAACGTTCAGAACACATGCGCGCGGCGCCGAAGCGAGAGCGGCATTTCGCCCTGTCGCGCGCGGTGTGCGCCGTGTGCTATTCCTGCAACGTATTTCGCAACGCGGGACACAAGAAAATCCGCGCTGAGAAACAACATGTCGACTGTGTACTTGTTTTTGACAAGTGAGATGGCCTCTTCCGGGTGGGCTTTCCCCAGACGTCCGCGTTCGATGTGCGCCGCGTTTCATTTTTTGCCGCGCAGTTCCCATTTTTCTCCCCCATTTCCTCCTGGCGCGCGTGGGTGTTGGTGGGTGTGGCGCATTGAGGTTCCACGGGCGCGGGGTTTAACATGCCTGGGGCGTTCTCTGTGAGCCATGTCCTTTCGTCATACCCCGCCACCGTTCGTGGGTAGCGGGAATCAGGCTCGTGCAGTGTTCGCCTTGGGGCCGTCTTTGGTTGCTTTGGAGGCATATTTGGCCATTTTGGCAGCCTTGGTTTTGCATCGGCCAGCTTGGGTGCTCGGGAGCGCGGACCAACCATTTTTTACAAGGGATTGAGCCCTCGGGAGCGCGGATCCATTGCTTTATGAGGGGTCGTGGCCGCAGGAGGGGGGGCGGTGCATTCAACAATCTGCGAGTAGAGGGGGGTCGTCCCTCAGAAGAGTACAGAGAAGCCCTGCCAGACAGCCCTTGGCTTTCTACCACGTCTCAACGTTCCCAGGGGGCACGATGACGGAGTAAGCGTAGTAGTGGTAGTCGGAAGATGAAGAGGAGGAGGAGGAGGAGGAGGAGGAGGAGGAGGAGGAAAAAGAAGAAGAAGACGAATATTAATAATACTAATAAGAAGAAAAAGAAGAATACGACGAATATTAAGAATAATAGTCATAATAATAATAAGAAGAATAATAAGAATACGAAGACGAAGAAGAAGAAACATAAGACTAAGACAAATAATAATAATAATATGAATGATACTAAGAATAGTAATAAGAAGAATAATAAGAATAATAAGAATAATAATAATACTAGTATGAAGCATATTAATAACAAGAACAATATTAATAATAATACTAATAATAATAAGAATAATAATAATAATAAGAATAATAATAAGAATAATAAGAATAATAATGATCATAATAATAATAAGAAGAAGATGAGGAGGAGGAGGAGGAGGAGGAGGAGGAGGAGGAGGAGGAGGAGGAGTAGGAAGAGGAGGAGGAGGAGCAGAAGAACAGGATCAGAGGGTGGCCCATGGTCCCAGACGAGGGCAAAGTGGGCCGTCGGTGCGCGGCGATCATCGGGGGGCGCCGTTGCGTGCCCCGCCCTTTCCCCAGGTCTTGTCCCGGCAGACCACGTGGAGCACCAACCCCGACAGGCTGCTGGCCCAGTTCGCGCCGGGGGACCGCCCTCTCTCTCCGCAAGCCTCCGCCTCCTGCCTCTGGTTGAAGACGAAGCAACGCCGTAAACAGAAACTGTTGGTGCTCCGCGCGGATTTCTTGGACCCGCGCTGGGCCCCCCCGGCGGCGCCTCGGCGCTCTAACCCTACCTCCTGCAGCGTGCCGCCCGCCTGCCCCCTGACCTGCCTCCTGCCGCCTGTCTTCCGCGCGTCCGCCCTCCGACACACACCACGTGTCTCGCCTCTTCTGCCTCCGTCTCCCGCCTCCAGTCTCCTGCCTCCCCTCGCCCGCCCGTCCCGTCCCAGCTCCATTCCTCGCCCTCCCCCCAACTCACACCTCGCGCCTCACACCTACTAGCTCATACACTGCACCTGGTGCACAATAGCCCATGCCTCCAGCTTTTGCCATCATTCCTCAGAAAGAGCGCGCCCGCAGCGCCGGGAATACGGAAAGGGGGGCCCCAGCTTCAAGCTACCTCCCCCCCCTCCCTTCCAAAAAGGGGGGGAGCTTCCGAAGATACCCCGTCCCCACCCTCCCGTCTGTAGGGGTTTCTAGGCTAGGGGGGCCCTGGCTAAAGGGGGGGGAGGGCTTCGAAGCTACCCCCCCCCTCCCTCCCTTTTCCGGATCAGAAGGTGAGCCCGGGCTTTCCTTTCAAAGGGCGGGGGTGCTTCGGAAGCTACCCCCCTCCCCTCCTTCCTTTTTTGGTCTGGACACAGGGGGAGGGCGGCTTCAAGCTACCCCCCTCCCCCTCCTTTGCAAAGGGGGGGGGCTTCGGAAGCTACCTCCTCCCCCTCCCTTCCGGGGCTCTGGCAAAATGGCGGAATCCCTGACGACAGGTGCGCACCGCAGCGCTAGAGAACGCATTGGAGAATAACGTCGACCCCTGGTTCGTAGTCTCGTTTTCTTGATTTCTTTCATCGTTTTCTCATTTTCTCGGCCCATGGTTCGTTTTCTGGTTTTCTCGTGTTTTCGGCTCCTGGGTCGCGGTCTCGTTTTCTCGGACCCTGGTTCGTGTTCTCGTTTTCTCGTTTTCTCGGCGCCTGGGTCGTGGTCCAGTTTTGTCGGACCCTGCTTCGTTGTCTCGTTTTCTCGGCCCCTGGGTCGTGGTTTTGTTTTCTCGGACGCTGCTTAGTATTATTATTATTTTCTCGTTTTCTCGGCCCCCGGGTGGTGGTCTCGTTGACCCTGCTTCGTTTTCTCGTTTCGTCGTTTTCTCGACTCTTGGGTCGTGGTCTCGCTTTCTCAAACCAAGCGTTTTCTGGTGATCGCGGCCATTGGGTAGTGGTTTCCTCGGACCCTGGTTCTTTTTCTCGTTTTCTCGGCCCCTGGGTCGTGGGTCGTTTCGCGTTTTCTCATTTTCTCGGACCCGGGTTAGTTTTCTCGTTTTCTCTGTTCCGGTTCGTTTTTTCGTTTTCTTGTTTTCTCGGCCCTTGGTTCGTAGTCTCGTTTTCTCGGGCCCTGATTCCTTTTATCGTTTTCTTGCTTTCTCGAACTTTGGTTCGTTTTCTGGTTTTCTCGTGTTCTCGGCCCCTGGGTCGTGGTCTCGTTTTCTCGGACCCTGGTTCGTTGTTTCGTTTTCTCGTTTTCTCGGCTTTTGCTTTTTGGTTTCGTTTTCTCGGACCCTGGTTTGGATCTCGTTTTCTTGTTTTCTCGGCTCCCGGGTCGTGGTGCCATTTTTCTTCGGGCCCTTGTTAGCTTTATCGTTTTCTCGTGTTCTCCGCCCCTGGGTCGTGGTCTCGTTCTCTCTGACCCTGGTTCGTTTTTTGCTTTCTCGGCCCCTGGATCGTGGTCCCGTTTTCACGGACCCTGGTTCGGTTTCTCGTGTTCTCCGTTTCTCGGCCCCTGGATTGTGGTTTTGTTTTCTCTGAGCTTGGTTCGTTTTCTCGTTTTCTCGTTTTCTCGGCCCCTGGGTCGTGGTCTCGTTTTCTCGGGCCCCGGTTCGTTTTCTCGTTTTCTCGTTGTCTCGGCCCTTGGGTCTTGGTTTTGTTTTCTCGGGCCCCGGTTCGTTTTTTCGTTTTCTCGTATTCTCGCCCCCTGGGTTTTTGTGTCGTTTCGCTTCCTCGTTTTCTCGTTTTGTCGTTTTCTCGTTTTCTCGTTTTCTCGTCTCCTGGGTCGTGGTCTCGTTTTCTCGGGTCCTGGTTCGTTTTCTCGTTTTCTCTGCCCCTGGGGCGTGGTTCGGTTTTCTCGGACCCTAGTTTGTTTTACCGTTTTCGCGTTTTCTCTGCCCTTGGGTTGTGGTCTCGTTTTCTCTGACCCTGGTTCGTTTTCTCGTTTTCTCTGCCCCTGGGTCGTGGTCTCGTTTTTCTCGGGCCCTGGTTCGTGTTCTCGTTTCTTGTTTTCTCGGCGCCTGGGTCGTGGTCCAGTTTTCTCGGACCCGGGTTAGTTTTCTCGTTTTCTTGTTTTTTTCTGGCCTTTGGATAGTGGTCCCGTTTTCTCGGACGCTGGTTTGTTTTCTCGTTTCATCGTTTTCTCGGCCCTTGGTTCGTAGTCTCGTTTTTTCGGGCCCTGATTCCTTTTATCGTTTTCTCGTTTTCTCGGCCCCTGGGTCGTGGTCTCGTTTTTTAGGAACGATATTCGCGTTTTCTCGGCCTGGGTCGTGGTCTCGTTTGCTCGGACCTTGGTTTGTTTGATCGGTTTCTCGTGTTCTCGATCCCTGGGTCGTGGTCTCGTTTTCTCGGACCCTGGTTCATTGTCTCGTTTTCTCGTTTTCTCGGCTTCTGGGTTTTTGTTTCGTTTTCTCGGGCACTGGCTCGTTTTCTCGTTTTCGCGTTCTCTCGGCCCTTGGGTTGTGTTCTCTCTTTCTCGGGCCCTGGTTCGTTTTCTCGTTGTCTCGTTTTCTCGGTCCCTGTGTCGTGGGCTCGTTTTCTCGGGCACTGGTTTGTTTTCTCGTTGTCTCGTTTTGTCGGCCCCTGGGTCGTGGTCCAGTTTTCTCGGACCCTGGTTCGTTTTCTCGTTTTCTCTGCCCCTGGTCGTGGCCTCGTTTTCTCGGACCCTGGTTCGTTTTCTCGTTTTCTCTGCCCCTGGGTCGTGGTCTCGTTCTCTCGGACCCTGCTTCGTTTCCTCGTTTTCTCAGTTCTCTGACCCTGGGTCGTCTTCGTCGTCGGTCGTCGGTCGCGCGTCGTCCGTCGTCCGTCGCCGTCTTCGCATGACCTCGTCCTCGTCGTGACGACCACGACGAGGTCATGCGAAGACGGCGACAATGACGGCGACGGCGGCGACAACGACGACGAGGATGACGACGGCGTCGCACGAAGACGTCGAGCGACGGCGACGGCAATGACGACGGCGACGGGGGAGGACCGTCCGGCAGGGGGAGTTCAAGGGATGGGGGCGGTAGCTAAGCCGCCCCTTCCCTTTTGGAAAGGGGGGAGGGGAGGGGAGCTTCCGGCAGGGGGGAGAAAAATTGAGGGAAGGGGGGGGCCTTCCGCAGAGGGGGGTCAAAGGAGGGGGGGGAGCTAAGCACCCCTTTCCTTTCGTAAGGGGGGGAGGGGGGGGTAGGTCCAGGTGCTGAAGGGGGCGAGGGGGGGGGGGGGCTGCTAAGCCCCCCCCCTTTGGAGCCAAAGGGGGGAAGGGGGGGGTAGCTTCCGGCAGAGGGGGGTCAAGGGGAGGGGGGGTAGCTAAGCCCCCCCTCCCTTCGTAAGGGGGGGGAGGGGGGGGTAGCTTCCCGGGTGCCGAAAGGGGGAGGGGGGAGGGGCTGCTAAGCCCCCCCCCCTTTGGAACCAAAGGGGGGAAGGGGGGGGGTAGCTTCCGGCAGAGGGGGTCAAGGGGAGGGGGGGGGGGGGGGGTAGCTAAGCCCCCCCTCCCTTTCGTAAGGGGGGAGGGGGGGAGCTTTCCAGGCGCCGAAAGGGGGGAGGGGGGGGGGCTGCTATGCCCCCCCCCGCCTTTGGAGCCAAAGGGCGGAAGGGGAGGGGTAGCTTCCGGCAGAGCTGGGTCAAGGGGAGGGGGGGGTAGCTAAGCCCTCCCTCCCTTTGGAAAGGGGGGGAGGGGGGGGGGGGTAGCTTCGGAGTGGCGAAAGGGGGGGGAAAGGGGGGGGGGAACTTCAGGGGGGAGGCGAAAAAGAGGGGGAGTGGGGGAGTTTCCAGCAGGGAAGGTGAAAGGGAGGGGGGGGGTAGCTAAGGGGGACTCCCCCCTCTTTGCTCCGGCGCTGCTAGCGCGCTCTCATTCCTCACACCTCCTGCAATGCACTTCGCACGTGCTACTTCGCAACTCGTGCGTACATCATCATAGCTCATTCCCGTCGTATCTCATACCTCACACCTCACCTCGTAACTGGTTCGCTATACCTTCCGAATCATACAACAGGCCTCGTGCCTCGTACCTCGTATTCTGCTTAAATATCTACATGTACTGATCTCTCTCTCTCTCTCTTCGTCCACCTCTACCTCTACGCGCACCTCTGCCTGTACCTCAACCTCTTACGTTTACGTATGCCTCAGCCTTTACCTCTGGGCGTGCTTCCCGCCTCCTGCCCCCTTATAGCTATAGCTATGGCACCAGCTCGATGACTAGCTCTGCTTCAGCCCCTACCCCTAGCCCTAGCTCCTCTTTTACCACTTCCTCTACATCCGACATGTCCCCCCCCTCTCTCCCTTTCTCTACACACATGCGCACACGTGTCGCTCTTTCTTTGTCCTTCCCTCTTTCTCTCTCTGTCTCCCCTCCTCTCTCACTCTACCTCTCTCTCTCTCGCTCTCGCTTTATCGCGCAAGCCTGCTCTCTCAGCCCCTCACTCTTCCCCCCCCATCTCTCGCACTCTCTCCTCTCTCTCTCACGCTCTCGCTCTCTCTCTCTCTCTATCGCTCTGTCTTTCTGTCTCTCCCTTCGTCCTGTCCCCTCCACCTCCAGCTCCTGCTCTCACCACTTCCTTTCCCTCTTACCTCGGCTAGGCGTGGAGAGCACAACACTCGCCCAGAGCTCCAGCGTCGTAACACGCAGTAACCAGCCAGAACATTTTTGTTGGCATGCTTTCGGACTTCAGGCTCCAGGGCCCATTCCGGGCCCATGACCATGCAACAGCTATCCGCGATGAACAATCCGTCGTAGGGAAGGGCTCGAAGCCTCCAGGGGCCATGTTCTTAAACATGGATGACGTCGGATGTCTGATCCTGGGTTCGGTTTCAGCCTCATCCTTGAGAAGGTTAAGATGAGTGGAGTAGGGATAAGGACGAGGGAAGGCGAGAAGGAACAGGATGCTGATGCTGATGCTGATGACGATGACGATGATGCTGCTGATGATGATGACGATGATGTTGATGATCATGGTGATGGTGATGGTGATGATGATAATGAGTATTGTGATAGTGATGGTGCTGA